ATATATATATATATATATATATATATATTACAATGCAACAAGCAACCTTTGTAATGTATGTGTGCATTTGTTATAAGGGTTGTTACATACAGCCCACATTAAGCTGCCATGTTGACTGTGGTAATATATCATAGGCACTTTCAACTTAGCAAACACCATTACCAACATGCTAATGTACCTAATCAACATACGTATGTTGCCATGGGTACGTGTGTCAATAGTGAAACATAACAATATGTTGAAATCTTTGAATTCATACTACGTTCATAAGCATTTTTTTAGATAATGATCTCAGCATAATATCAGCGATACGGGTATCGTTTACGTCATATTCCACGGTGACTAGTTCTCGGTTGTTACATGACGCATGCCTATAAAATGCTGGCTAAATGCCCTTGCGAATAAATGCACTGCTCAAGTGTCTAAAATACAGTGATTATTGTACGACCTTTTCATTCAAGCATTCTTGAATTCAATCTGCTTTCACCGAGTCTCATAACCTTCGAAGGCTTATACATTAATCTTTCCGATCACGTACACTTTCTCTTATCTTACGGGAACTGCTGTAATGAGTATATCCCCCGAGACATTGTCAGACTACATTGTTGGTGTTATTGTATATTTCAAGAAATTGAACAATCCCTTTATAAATTGTTGTAACATTTCCCTTTATACGCTTTGCATTAAGCATGTCAGTGTCGCTAAATTGTGTTATTTTTACATCACAGTGACTACAAGAAAAGACACTGGTTAATGTAAATACCAATTACCCCCTCTCAGTCAGTATTAAGTTCGGGTTTACACAGGTTGTAATTCTGACTTTCCTTGGCTCCATCTCATTCGTATCTGTCAGCATCGACGACGGACAGTCTCGTGGTTTACTTGCAGCTCATTTACACATGCCGCATATTGCTACTTGTGGCCCAAGGTTCCATTAATCATGTTAATTTAACTGGGTATCACATCCTTACTAGAATCAGTATCACTACCGGCAGGTGGCATTGTCTTACCAGAAGAACCGGTCAGGAAATTGACCGTTTAAGAAATATCGGGTTACACTGCCCACTTTAGTATATTGAATTCGTTTACTACAGACTATAATCTCTATTGGGAATTGTCTCATTTCTCAACCCTGAATATTAATTAAAATAATGCTATGTAGCATCGATTAGTTTCTTCTACGTCGTCGTAGCTTGTTAATTACGGTATATATTATTCATCCCCGTAAATGAAATCCTCGCTAATCGCTAGTGTCTGTAACGTTGCCGCCTTGGACACGGCATTTCACTATCTGGCTATCTACGTCTACGTTATCAGTCTATTTATGTGTCTATGATTTCATCGGATGGGTTGCATGGAATTTCAGAAGTAACCAGCTTTAATATTTTAATATAACACCACGCTTTATAATTTTTGTTTGTTTTTCGAACTAATTAAATGATTTTATAACACGGGGTCATGTTTCTCATTAAAGATTAAGGCGAATTTTGCAAGGGCACTTTAAGTCACAGTGACGGTGTGTGAATGTAACTAATCGCCAATATTTCCAATTATACACAGTCGGTCATTATGATTAAAGGTGGCTGACACACACACACACACACAATAATATGGAATCAGTAACACGTATAAAGACTAAGAATTAGGAAATTTAATTTGATTTTGCGGAGACACTTCTCAGTGATGTTATAGTAATGTAACATATTTAATCAATAATGACAACGTGGAGGCGCAGAAGTTGCCCTTGAAAACATTAAAAAAAATCTTTTTTTTTAAAATTATCATTAATTTTAGATGTGGATGTATACTCCCCAATCGGAGCTGAAAGTTCTTTTCCAAATATCTTCAATATCTCGTAAGACGTGGAAACAAAATATCAGCCTGTATTGGCCCACTCGAATCACTGTGCAAGTTGCGTTGTTACCAGAAATATTAAATATATTATTAAATTATTTTATATTTAGGTTTCCCTTTTTGTTTTTCAAAACTTAAAACAATGTATGTGATTCACCCGTATTGTAGAAACTGAAACTAACAACAGCAATTTCCCAAATTGCCCGGTCAATTAGAAGAAAAGTTGATGTTGTAAACATCATTCTACTTATAACACTGATAAGCCAGACTGTGGAAGAAACAAACTTTCAATACTCTCATCAATTTTTCTTGTATTTGCGTAGTTTGAACAGTGGCGAAGTAGTCTGCAATACATGCTGAAAGGAAAGTAGCACTCCCAACGGGAAACCTGTGCACAATAATAGTTAACGTGCGTTACCATGACAACGCTTTTTTAATTTACTGACGCAGTGTAATCAATAAACCCCAATGCGTGCAATCATATTCATGTCTTAAATGTTAATACCTACCATTTGCAAACCCCCGATTACTGAATCCCTTCAACTAACACAAGTCGCATACTCGCCCCCTTAATTGATTCTGAAAGTAATCCCGAACCTAAGATGACGTCACTTACTCAAAGTGTACCAGAATGACAATTCGTTTCACTCCTTTTTGTTATACAATTGAACAAAAATTTGATTGAAATGAAATATTAACATGATTGTGTTGATAGATTTTAGGGCGTTTTTTTTCAATTCTCATCTGTTTTTCCTGCCAAAACCATTCTGTTTATGACAGATCGCGTGATGGCGGCTGCTGTAAAACACACTCACAGCGAGAAAATGATGATTTATCAAAAACCATTGAAATGCAAGTAGTTTACTTATTCAAATGTCTAATCAGTCATGTATGAATTCCGTGTGCGATAAACAAATAACACAACCACCTAATAGTCATACTACGCCTTACAAATGTTATTCAAACCATAGACTCACTTTTAAAGAGTCTATGTTCAAACACAATTGCAGCACCTTTTGTTCTTGTCGGAGGGAGATAAGTGTATCATTGAAAACAACCGGGGTAGTACAAAGCCGCCATCGGCCATATTGAATCCAATAATCCATTCTTCCCGGTCTGGTGGGAAATCAACATGACTATTTATAGTTTTTATTAAGTATCCTCAGTCATGTGATCTCTTGCCTAATTTCATTTATGGGCCGAACATGTTACAATGTATTTGTAACTAAGCTTCTTAAGAGCAGCAGTTAACTAAGCTTGGAATCTGACCGTTTTTTTGATGGCATGAGGTGAAACAGGGACAAAATACACCGCTTATATAAACATTAAATATTCGCATTACACGTATACACTTGCCATACGACCGCCATTAAATGGTATGCTGATTCCTTGTTATCGATGGCGCATAGTAAGAGTCGTATCATGTATAATCAAATGATAGACTTTACTCATTTCCGGCGCAAATGTTGAAATTGGAATCGTGCTTTTCCTCTTTCTATAAAATAGATATATGTACAAGTTTAATATGTAAATTTAATATCCCAAATCAAAACAAGACTAGTGTCCCCAGTGTAGTGATTAGTCAACGAGGCCAAATTCGAAAGTCGTGCAAGATCAAGCGTATGCGGTTCATTAAAATGAAATTGACGGATTACATGCAAGTCGTTTCAAATCACCAGGCCCTAGAATACCCAAGAATTGTTGTTTCTGGTTAAGAACGTGCTGGTTCTAATCCCTCTAGATGTTCTGTTTGTCCATTACTTGACATTTACTTAGAACAGTAAAAAAAATGTAAAGGTCTTTAAATAAATGGGAATATGTGTGTATGTAGTTTATTTTAGTCATGCCAATCGTGAAATTCACCTTGTCATACAGCCAGACCTAGTAAATTCAAGATATGCACAATACTTATTAACATCATTTTACTTCATTATTTTGTAGGTTTCGGTATGACGTCACCTTCTACAGATGCTGGGAAATGCGTGCTTATAGTGTACGGACTACTTGGTAGTGGTGCAACTATTCTATATTTTAACATATTTTTAGAGCGTCTTATCACATTCCTCGCCTTTGTGATGAGATCGTGGCATTTGAGGCAGCTAAAAAAGAAACAGCCTGTAAACGGACAGCCAGCGTCCAAAAACGACAGGAGGGGATCGCAAGGATCTGAGGACAATTTGGATAACTGGAAACCGTCGGTGTACTATGTCATGGTGATTCTTACAATATCAGCTATAGTCATAGCCTGCTGTGCGTCAGCAATGTATTCTGCTGTAGAAAAATGGAGATACTTGGATGCAATTTACTTCTGTTTTGTTGCCTTTAGTACAATTGGTTTCGGGGACTACGTGCCGAGTCAACACCCCGACTATCCAATGCAGACTCTGTACAGAATTGGCAATTTTCTGTCACTGCTACTCGGCGTACTTTGCATTTACTCTATGTACAACGTGCTTACAATTATTATCAAGCAATTTCTCAATTGGTGCATTAAAAAGCTGGACTGTCGTTGCTGTGTGAAGAGGAAACCTCGGCCGAGGAGAAATGCAATAACGCCGGGACACTTACAGAGACAGGCGAGGGCAGGAAATACGAAAGGTCGAGACAAAAACGTGGAAGTGACTGACATGGACTCGACCTACGACAGCGACACGGACGGAAGGAGAATGTCAGGGGAGATGATTTCAATGAAGGATTTCTTAGCTGCGAATAAAGTCTCGTTAGCTGTCATGCAGAAACAGTTGTACGAAACGTCACAAAATAGAAATAGGGACCATCAGCACAGTCGAAGTAATGGCGCATTATCACAGGGAGTGGGGGCCTTAGCTATGCTAAATAATAAATTGCAAGAAACTGAGAAGAAAGAATGAAGTAACTGTGACGTAACATCGTCGCTCGCCTTGTACCATCATATGACAATATCCATAAGTAAATGCGATATCTAATAATAATCACGTCTGTAAAAAAAAATGCGATATTTCCATTATATCAGCATAAGTAACATTAATGTGATATCCCATAATATCCACATATTTGAGCAGAATGCGATATTTCCACGATATCTACATCGATATAACGAATGCGATATCCCATAATACCCACATCCCTGGGCAGAATGGGATATCCCATAATATCTACATCGGTATAATTAGTGCGATATCCCATAATATCCACATCCGTAGGCAGAATGTGATATATAGGTAAGAGGAAATGTACAGTATGTGGTACAAGTGCAGCAGAACATAGCCTAATCATTTACATGTAGAGCCAAGACACTGAACGGAGTGAAAGAAGTTGAATGCATAATGTATTAAAACGTGGTGCTTACTGTAGACCAGTAACGGTGAACAAAGCACTGTCAGTATTGCATTTATTGAGTGCCAATACCATAGTACGACTTACGAGACGATTCCCCTGGATTATATTTATTACAATAATATAAACAAGAATATGTAAAAGAAGAAAAAAAACAATTATTGAGAACGTCCAATTTTCAAGTGCACCTTACACACAGAGATTTACT